TAGTCCATGAATAGATAATGAGAAAGATCAATATGGAACTGATCAAGAGAGGAAAACTGGAGATTTACACTCCAGGATTAAGTGGAGGAACAAAAACTTCAGATTTTCTTAGCTCAACATTTTCCAGCAGTTTAAACGTAAGTGATATAGTACGGAGTACTGCATATCACTAACAGTCCATTGTGGTATCTGGCTGAGTGCACTCTGCATGCCTTGACAATTCATATGTAATGTAAGGGCATCAGCAATTGAGGTTTATGAGGTATAAAATTAATTAATATTTTATTTTTATTTAATTAATATTAAGAAAATGCATCGCATCTATCATCTCACCGTCTGATGGGAGGAGTTGATGTAGACGAGACACTGTCCACATGCAGCCTGTCTCACCTCTTGTGTTATCGTGTCTTTAATGATGTAGTAACAGCAGCCGTTTCGATTTTACAATTTTCTCAAAATGTCAAATGATTGGGTTTTGACAAAAAAAAAAAGTAGCAGCAGATTAAATTAACATACAATTTGAATTTTCCAATGCACTCATTGGGATCTAATGTGAACTATAAAAACATGGAGTGTTTGGCTTTTGATCACCTTCCAAACAGAAAAGCCAGTATGTGGCGAGGAGAGTCGGTTAGGTTTTGTTGTCTGTCGTCCAGCCCACTGTCTCTCTACTCTCCTATAAGTAAAATGTCACAAAATCGAAATCATTTGTCACCAATTCTAGGAACGTAATACCAAGGCAAGGTTTTATAACTGGAAACGTCAAAGCTGAAATGGATTGTTGTTGTCGATTTGTTTTCTGCAACAGATTTATAGACCTAATCCAATCTCCTCCTGAATTCCCTCACACTCAGTGAAAGTGTATAAAAACCTGCTGGCTCACACCGTATAAATTATGCAGCTGCTATGTGAGGGGCAGTAAGGTTTCAGCGCAGTATAGCTGAAGTGTCCACTTTTATGTCTCGCTGTGCTTCATGTCACCTACTCCCCCTGACTATTCGCTGCGGAGCCGGTCCTCTGGTCTTGTCCACTCTGCCTTTTGCAGCCTAAATCATCCTGTTCCAGGGGGTGTAACATTTTAAAAAATCTCTCCTGCAACTGTTCCAGTTTGTACTGTTCCAGTGTGTCCTCAACATCACAAACAACAGCACATATTCACTCAAGTACGGGTGGACACTCTGCACCAGCTATAGAATAAAGTGGGTTGAAGTACACTCAGTGTGAAGGTAATCACTCGGTCATTTCTTCTGCCTCAGCGCCGACAGGATTATGTAACAAAGGGAAAACGCTGCCGTTTCTTTGGTCTGTGTTCCTTGCCTGGTAAAAGCCATTAAAAGATATAAAATCTGCAGTCACATTCTTCAGTGGTGTAAGTAATCGCTCGCTCACACACAGTGGAGACACCGTGACAGAGCACATTGCGCCCCACAAACGCCCATACCAATCTGATCTCTCCCCTGCAATGCAGCGCTGATAGTGAAAACAAACCCTCACAAGATCTGGTGATTCCAAACATCAAACCCAACGCCAGTTACAGCCAAGTGTAAATAAATCCTGCTCGGTGTGTCAGTCCGGTCCAATGAAAAGCCTCGCAGACACCAGTCCTACTTTGATGAAGTGATGCCAGCTCCTGACACCCTTCATCGGTGGGATAAGAGCTGAGCTGTGAATGGATGTGGTTCCCTGATATGTGGGCTGCTGTTGAACCATCATATACTCACCACGTATGAGACCAACACCACCCTCCCATCCCCCCTCCCTCCATCGCTCCAGCAACACAGGAGTGTGATTCATTATTAAAGAGCAGTGCAGGCATTCAAGCCTGAGTTTACAAGACGGCCATTGTGAATACTCCAAGGATTAAATCCATCTAAGGAGCAGCATCTGTGTTTCTACATGTCCTCGGTCATAGTCAGTATATGAACTGCGTGTGTGTGTGTGTTTGTGTGAGGGGCGGGGGGGTCAGTCTGAAGGCAAGACCGCATTTGATGCTCACACACCAGATGGCATTTGCTACTTGTGTAGGTGTTCAGTTCAGTGCAGGTCACGCAATACTTCCCTGGTCTACTCCTGCATACAGATAAAAGGGCTTTTATTTCCTTTTATGTTTTTCTTCATCATCACCCACTGTCACTTTCTCTGCCCTTATCAATTTGTCCTTCTCCTGAAAGAGACCCAGTTGACATTTAAACCCCTACAATGTATCTAAGAAGTGCAGAGACTGTCTGTCATGCTGAAATATTTACACGTGGACCATGGGTTAATTCTTTTTCTAGGGTGAACTGGTCAGCTTGACCAGTGTTTACACAGACCGACAGTTGACTGCCAGTGGCAGCATGGTGTTTATGTACATTGTTTTCTAATGTCTGCTTAAAGGCAGGGCAGAACATTTTGGATTTACAAAATCCATTCTAACTTTGCTTAAATGAAGAGTTTTTTGGGGGTAAAGACTGAACCAAATAATATTAATTTTTACCCAAACTAAGAATGAATGCCTCTAATATATGATAGGTCTGTGTGTTTCCTGTTCCTGCCGTCTGCTGTGTGGGGCTAATCAGTGTCGTCACTCTCACCTGTGTCGCTGTGATTAGGCTCACTCATGTCACCTGGTGCCCTGGGTATATATACACCTCTGCCTCACTCTTTGTGGGATCATTGTGTTGTGGCCATGTTAGTAGTGTTCTGTGCTCATGTTAGTAGTGTTCTGTGCTCATGTTAGTAGTGTTCTGTGCTCATGTTTTGTGTTTGCTGGTCATGCCCTGATGTTCATGCCTGAAATTCTGCTCATCATTTCTCCGTTCCTTGTTCTGAGTTCCTTGATCCTCCAACCCTGTGAGAGTAATTTTTGTACTTTGTAAATAAATTCACTACACCTAAATAGACTCCCCCTGTTACTGCATTTAGGTCCTGCCTGTCATGTAGTCGATTTTACACGTGCTTTTTATGTGTTTTGGTTGTTTTATTTTCTTAGACAATTAATTTGATTTGGTATCTGTCACATCAAAAAAACTAGAATGACACTCAAGATCAGAGACCATCAAAAATGAATTCACACAGCTATTCTCAGTTAACGGCTTACGGCTGCACTCACTAAAATCAGGGCTTTGGTTCAGATGGTAGTTGTTGTTGAGACAAATGTTCCCATTATTGCTTCACTCGAGCATTTGTAGAAAACTGGTTGTAATTGCGCGGGTGTCCCTGATATATAAAGAGAGGCAGAGACGTACAGCTCGTTAATATGGCCCACCAATCAATGCCCAACGATCGCTTTGTGGTTATCTTCAAATCCTTCCTCTTCCCATCACCTCACCACAATAACTCCTACCAACGGGTCAACAAACCTAGGGCTACATTTTCACCCCCAACATTTTAGTACTGCATTTTGGTGCCTTCATTAAAAGATAACAGAACACATTTTAAATTGAGAAATAAATTACCGGACCTTTACTTTGTGTAAGCTAGTACTGGTCGGTACATTAATGCCTGACCTGCTGAAGCTGAAGCTGCTCTGAGACAGAGACATGTTTCTTCTGAATGTTAGAAAACACATACACATCCACAGACGACCACTAAAGCCCACTTAGACAAACATGTCATGGAGGACATCCATTAGTACAAGGTCAACATCAGCTATTTATATAAACTTCAAAAGATGCTCTAATTTATCCCTTCCTGTTGCACAAATAGTGCCTGAAACAACATTCTGTAATGGCGAAAAGCTAAAAACACTTTTCAGTTTCCAGATTTGTTGTCTGTAAACAAAAAAATAACATTTGTAAACATATTACATTTAAAAATTGAATTGCTAATTATGCTAACTGTTTGCCTTGCAGAGAATTTAAATTTTAAAGTATTTTAAAAGACGCATAAAGCTCTTTTCCCGTCTTAGTTCACTGTCCAATTAACTGTGAGCTGGGACAAAGCATGCAGTAAAATTCAATAATGAAAATGTCAAATTTGAATTTTAAAGCAGATGGATGGCTATTAATCTTGACCGGGCTGTGGTTTTGGGCCACAGCCCTGTTCTGATCCAGTGAACACTGAATAAAAGTGACATTAACAGGATTTTTGGACTAATACTCAAAATCAGTGACAACCCAGATTTATTTGGCAGGTATTACAATAACAGCATGACTGCAGCAGACTATAGAACAGGTTTACAGTAGAAACAGAACGTCTATGTTCACTGGAAAACTGACTGAACACGTGTGAAACCATTGCTTTGTGTACGTGTCCTTTGATTGAAATAACTGTAAAATAAGTTTCCACACAAATTAAAAGTTTGTATCAACAATAAAGACAAGGCTTTAACGTCAAACTGTTTCTCACTTCGTACATGTTAAAACAACACGCTATATTGAAGAAAACGTGCTAGAAACTACACTATGACAGGACTGTTGATGTTGTAGAGTTCAAGGTTCAGAGTTCAGAGTTTGTAACAGCCTCTACAATGATGGGTGGATTAGACAGCTGTAGCCATAAACAGTTCAAAAGTAGCAAGTCAACAGTATGCTTTCTCAATATTATTCCTGATGCAGAGCCAAACATAAATGTTTGTTCTCCCCTCTCTTAAGAGTGGGTGAGGTGACGATCAAAGAAGCGTACAGTGTCTCGCAGACTGCTATCAAGCAGCTGTTATTTATGGAACGCTGCCTGGGAATGTTCCTTCTGAGGAACGTTGTCAGCGCTCTCCCTCTCATCAAAACTTTAGCCAAGCACACACTACATGACTTCCAGAGTTGGAGGATCACAGTGCCTCCCACACAACATGACATGCTGTCTCATTATCAAGAGTCTTTGCAGTCACCGCAAGTTCACACAACCTACCTCAGTCATGTGACTACAGCTTTGCTACATCCGTCTTCCTTTAGGAGACAGCCACAAATCACATTAAATTAAAACGAGAAAATCACTGGCTACTCAGGAAAATACGGTCCTAAAACAGCAGCTAATGAACCAGATTGGTTTGACTGCTATTAAAGATAAAGCATAACAACAGGATAAAACATTAAAATCACAGATGCTATTCTGCTGCTGGCGGTGTGTGGGGAGAAGCCTGCACTGTAACAGACTTTGGATAGTTTGTGGAAAGTAGGCCAAAGTCTGTGAACATCTTCCATCTTGCCAACCTTCAGGGCCTGGCCAATTATAGTTACAGCAGCGAATATTCACTCACTGAAGCTTTTACATCTCACAGGAGTTTGAGCAACATCTTGTATCCACGAGCCTACATCTCAGGAGATAGTTCCTACTCCACCATCGTAAATATCAGCCCACGAAGGACCAGGAGTTTTACATCTTTTAAGTTTAACATTCTGTTTGGTATGAGGGTAAAAGTTCAGTTCCAATAACTGAACTTTCAGTTGTGTTTTTCCAAGTAAATTTCAGCCTTACTTTGTGCCTGGACAAGACAGAGAGTAGACACAAACATTTTACTAGTGCTCCCAAATACAACAATAAAGGATCCAATTATTTTTCTTGTCGAGCAGAGCATACTGCTTACTAACTCAAGCATATTGCTTACGCAGATGACATTTGTTTTACTGTTAGCAGGCAAGCAAAATGGATCTCCTGAGCATAGGGATACAGCACAAAATTGCATCACATTCTATCCTTCTTACTATTCTGTGTACTTCTATTTGTCTAACTAACATATCCAACAGGGCCTGGAACTATTAAGTGTGACCACAAGCTAGCAAAATGTTTATAAATTCAGTTTAAAGTGACATCTTTCAACAAATATACAAAGCAGAACACTTCCACTCTTTCAGCTCTAAACAACCTTCAAATTCAGAATGTTCTCATATTATTCTGTGTAACTCTGTTCCAGTGGGCAAAACTTAAGAGTTTGACGTAGAAATTAGATGAAATCTGATTGGGTCTTTGTATCTTTGTGTTGTGGGGCAGACTGTAGGGCAGATCTCCACAATATGACACAGTTTTCATTTGAAAGCATAACTCTGGATCAAGCTGCATGTCTGATAGCGTCTGTCTACATCCTCTAAACTCTCATCAGCAATTCCTCCTCTCATCTTTGCCCTTACTGTTCATTTCACTGCCTTCATGATCAAAAACTGAAAGGAACAATGACACCCTTCATAAAACTCAAGACAATGATGCAATGTCCTTGCCCTCATGTCCCAGTTCAAGATGTCTTAATCCTCCTTCATTCCAGTAGAAAAAAACGGACTCTGCGTCACTCTGAAAAGCTTCCTAGACAGTTATTGACAGTTATTGTACATGCCCAATACTCGCTCTTGCTCTCTCTCTCTCTCTCTCTCTTACTGCAGGAATCAGTCTCGTCTTGATCCAGAGCTAAGACCTTCCTTTATCTTATTGCCTCCCACAGAATGCAGACCACTGCAGCTCTGCTACAGAGACTGGATTTCTGTGGATCTGATTCAAATGGCTCAGCTATTGTCTGGGAAAAAAAACACTTTGCCTTTTGGTAACGGATGCTAATAATATGCATGCTAAATTAATCTCCAAAGGCTGCTTCAAAAAAAAGTAGCTTAACAGCTTCAGTGAGACGTCTGCCCTACTAAAAGAGTTTCACAGCTATCTACAGCAAGCACCCAGGTATAGCTTGGCCACAGTTACTGTAGCGCATGATGTTAACTGGAACGCAAAATGTCTTTTGATTAACTCAATTTACAAAGAAATCTTCACTGCTATAAAGTCATTTTCAGAGTGTCTTAAGCCAAAGAATATGACCTTTTGTTCGTCTGACGAGGGAAATAGCCACATTTTAAACCTTAGGGAAATATAAATGGATGGGCCATGTAAAGTTTGCTGCTTTAAAAATAATGAAGAGCATTTAGATGCAAATTAAGATCTAATTATAGACTATACTGCATTGGTGAAAATTCAATGCGTCTTTGTGTTCCTTTGCTGCACCACTCACACATACAGTAGGGCCGATAATTATCTAATTTAATCATGTAATCTATCATTAACTAAACTGGATTAATGATAGAGTAGAGGCAGATTGGGGTCTTGGCCGGGAAGCCAAGTCAGCAAATGCAGATGCTGAGGAAGAAAGAAACAAATGTAGGATAGAAAAGAGCAGAGAGATGGATGAACAAGAGTTTATTATTTATAATCTGATGCAGTGTTTCAGAGACTGCTCATTAATGCTACATTCTGCTTTATATCTCTTGAGAAGAACAGGGAAAACAGGGACAAGGCACTGGTTCTATCAGCACACGTGGTCGGTTAACACGTACTCTGTGACTCAGATGGTGTGAATTTCAGGGGTTCTTGTGGTAATGACTGTTTTCGTCGCCGCACAATTTGTAAATTACGTCAAATTGCTGGGGTTGAATCACTAGGCTATTATTATGAGATGAGAAGAGTTTCTTCTGCATGATATTGAAAATCATCCTAATTATGTGCAGAAATATACAGTTTAAAGAATGTATAATTAAGGGAAAAAAAGGCCCAACAATGACAGAGAATCACCACAGACAATTTGAAAATGTACCCTTGTTAACCAGGTGTAATCTTTTAAACTTTGAATTTTTTCCTTTATGTGTATGTTCAAAACCATAGCACCATAACACGATGCTCCAGCTTCTTTTGGAAGCTGGAGCATCAAGTTGCTGACTAAATACTACCACACACTGGTAGTGTATTACAGAAATATGACACCATCATATTAAAAGTCAATGTACAGTGACATCATGCTCTTGTAGATTCAATCTAGGAACACAGTGCTGGAGGGGAATTTCTTATTGCAGTATCAGCGACTTCTCTACAGTATCTGAACCAAAAGTATTTGACTTACAATCATTATTTTAAATGATGGATCACTGACTGCAGATTAGTTCATAGTTACTAAAGATTTAAGATGAAGAAGGCAGCTGTATCAGCTGCGAGAAAGAATGGCGTTAAAACATATTTTGTAATAGTAATATTTTATATATTTTTAGTAAAATAATGGAATGGCTAAGATTTCAAACACAAAACAGTAATCAACATGAGCTCAGGTAACTACAGTATCTACCCAAATTTGATCAAAACATTGACTGTAGCCAAGCACAGGAAGCGCAAAGTTACTAAAACTCATTTATTGCCAAATAACCTCTTATTGGCAATAATTTAGCCTCTTTGAGGTTAAATACTAGAACGCGGGCAGGCAGCCTCTTTGAGGTTAAATACTAGAACGTCCAAGAAGGTAACTATTTTTGGATAGGATGACCTGGATGATTGAGAACCTACACCGACACGTTACCTTTACCCTTTTATACAACCAAAGTATATTTTCTAAAGTGCCCAGAAATCTGTTTTTAGAACATTGAAAGCTGTTGGCTCTCATCATTTCTTTGTCATTTTTGCCTTTTATTCGTCTTCCTCTTCTGAGAGAAAACAATCAAACCAATCAGACTGTGTTTGGTTTGTTTGCTTCTACCTGCTGGAGACTTTGAAGTCTACTGAAAACACCTTCATAAACAAGCTTTTGTCAACTATGCTCTCACTAGGGAGCAAATTATGGAGATTGAACAACTGACTGAAGCTAATTATTAACATTTATGCCAAGTATGAAGCTATTGATAAGCCTTCTAAGATTACTGAGAAAAAAAGGAGGCTTACAAGGCTGTTCTTTTGTAATTTAGCATTGTTGACAAGGTAAAAGGAAAGACTGATAAATCATGAAACGTTACACTGCAACCTGATAATGGACCATGACAACACTTTAATGAAAATCTTTGATATAAAGGAATTGAAGAAACGATCTTTACCAGAATGCAACATAAAGTTCTAGAGGAAACAATTTAAATGTAATTTTGATAATTTACCTTGTAAGACTGACTACAATTGAATCCATCCTCTTGAGGGAGAATATATTCTGTTATCATATTTAGGCTTGACAATTTCTCATTAATTAACCTGATAAGAACTGAATCGACATTCTAAATATTTATACACATTTATCAGAGTGGTAGGAAGTAATTAACCGAGGAACTCGCTTTCAAAAAGCATGTGCTCCTATTTAAGGAATTAAAGGCTCGACTTGTTTACTGGTGATATTCACATTCACACTATACACACACCTGATCTCTGCAACAACAACGTGATGACGGAGAGTGTGCCGCATTTGGGTATTTTTGCAATCATGGTTTTGCAAAATCGGGGGGAAAAAAGCCAAGCAAGCCAAACAGAGAGAAAGAAACAGAGAGAGAGTCAGAAATGTATAATAACCAGAGAGAGAGAGAGATGCAGGATGGATTTTCTGATTTTATGTTGACTTCAGAACAAAACCATTTGAAGAGAACATGCTGTTTGCTCCTTCTGCATGACAACTCAGTCTATCATCATTCATGGCTCACTTTAAAACAATACACACCATTTTTGGAGAAAATGGAAGCCATCCCCCATCCCCTGTTCCTCAAAAAAAATAAAATAAAATATATATATATATATTGCCCATGTCCCAAATATTCACCTCAATGCCAGACTCCTTCAGAAAGTGCCTGGTTCAGCTCTTTAACTACATCTGCCAGCTGGGGAGGTGACAATGGGTGATTGCTGAGGTGAGTGGATCACTGACAGATTACTGACAAAGAAAATCCCTCAACAAAGAAGGAGGGAATAGGAATATACAGTCTGGACTGACACATGGTTGTTATTTCTTATCTCAGCCTGCTGCTCTGCTTAAAGAGGAACATTACAGCTTAGATACTATCAGGAGGAGGAGAGATGGTTTTGACACAGACAGAATAAGTGAAGACATGACTCAAAAACAGGGTCAAAGTTCTTAACAAGGCTGTCTTTCTTAGGGGTTTAAATTTGCAACATCAACTGATTTGGGATTCCCCTTATACTTTAAGGTTTTACCAGTTACCATGAAACTATTCTCAGGGTTCATAGATCACTGTACACACTTTCACAGTCAATTCTGAAGGTTTTCAGCACCTCTGGGGCCTTGATAAATGGAAGCATTTTGCATATTTATTAGGGATGCACAAAATATTCGGCCAACCAAAATTTTTGGCAGGAAATTGCATTTTTGGTTTTGGCCTTAAGACTTTTATCACTGAAATAACGCAGCCAAAACAGGAAGTTAGTTATGTTCTTAGAGATTGTGGTTTTTCTGGTTCTGGTTTAGCGTCTGCATAAACAGGGCCAAAGGAAATGGACATCAACTCTCATCAACAGACACAGAAGCATAAATAGTGGGTTAACAATTCTACATTGGTAATTAAAGTCCCTTGGTTTTCTAAAGAACCCTCACATATAAAATATGTGCTTTACAGAGGCCGGATGTTGCATTTGTTTATCTAGGCTTGTTCACAACAGAAAAATAACCAGAGGCCTTTTGCACAGGCACAAAGGTATTAATAATAGCCTAGCAACAGCAAGCGGTGCATTCTTGCTAACAGCAAAACATTGTTTAAGCATTGTTATGCTGGATCGTGGTGCAGCTACAATCAGAGTCTACCATTTAAGCCAAGACTTCACCATAGAATTTTTAACCTCAGAATATTGAACCTTTAGATGAGAAGTGGTAGAACTGCCCCTAATAAATATCACACAAACTGTCTCACATAAAAAGGCATAAATCAAATTTATTTCCTCCTCGCTTAGATCTCCTCAAGAATCAGTGTGACATTTGACGGCGTTTCCACACTGTCTGAGCTCCCATCTGTAGGAGCTGAAGACGCAGATGGGTCGAGAGGTCCATGCATGAATGACGCAGTGTGTGTGTGTGTGTATGGGCCTCGTGGCCTCGTGGGAAGCTGCAGTTAAAACGATGGATGCCAAAGAGCTGAGGTAGGGGGAGGAGGGGAGGGAATGGAGTGAAGTGGGAGCTAGGTTTCTTTACTGCAGCAACGCAGCAGCCAGAGAGGAAAGGATGTCAGTTAGAATTTTAGAAATTTAAAAATAAAAAAAGAAGTTTGCAATTTTATAACATGTTCAGAGATGTCCTAAAAGTGAAAGATTTTGGAAGTTTCTTTTTTATAGCATGTCTGTCCAGTGCCACTGCTTCAACTGTTGGCACTTGTAAGAAACCAAACATGTAGGCAACAATCCCTGGCAGAGCAAACACTCCCTTATGAGACTCCCTCGCTTGCCCTCTGAACAAACAGCACTCCCTCTGAGCCTCTGTGGAAGGAGGTGGGACGCTCGTACCAATTCACTGGCTCGCTGCTTTGCCGTTACGCTACAATGTAAACAAGGACTCCCGAGGACAAACCCATGTTTACGAACATCCCAGCATCAATGTAATGTATACATACAATTCATCTATCCTCCCCCCCAACCCAGAGCAGTTGTGAGCAGATCTCACTGCAGCAAAGTGTAAACACGGTCCGTGGGGAAGCCTCTGCTCACTTTTTAATGTACAACCTCCCCCACCCTGTGCAAACTCCATACCTGGCCTTCTCCATTTCATGTAGTCCAGTAACACAGTCAGAGCGGAGTAAACATACAAAGTCACACAGTCACCGTGCATCGTATCACACAAGTACACAAAGAAGGGAGAGATGAGGTGATACACAGCAGAAGGTCTGCAAGTACTTCAAGAATAAATACTCTAATTTTCATCCGTTTAGGCGCAAGGTTGTTAAAGGGACATTTCCTGGTTGAAAAAAATAAAGTGTGAACATTCATCCTGGAGCTAAGCTTTGTTTCATAATGTGGGGGATAGATGAAGGACTTCAGTGTCAGATTTTAACACTGGTTGTTAGCTGCTTCCTTTGAGAAAGACACACGTGTGAAACCATGTTCTCAGAACCCTGTCAATGTCCCGAGCTTATCTTCAAAATGTACCATGTACGGAAGAACAATTCACACGTACGTGTACAGACCTGCACCATGATAGTTATCTGTATCTTTTTACTGCATGCAGAGCCTGTCATGTGGTCCTGGGCATACCAACTTTAGTCAGACTCTAAATGCAAAAATAGCAGCAGTCTTTGACCAGCTGTTCCTGAACACTTAAGCACATCACATGATCATCAGCAGCAGACGGGGGACAGTAAAACTCAACTTTGAGCCAGCATGTTCTGGAAGTAGTCAGAAGTAACACAAACCACCACACATCATAATCTTTTTTTTTTTTCTCCAAAAGCCTAATTTCATCTTTTTTTAAATATTTTTTTTATATCGTTTTAATATCTACCAGTAGTTGAATATTTTAATTGAAAACTAATTAAATTTAGTGGTTCAAAATATGTCTTGAATCAAGGACACAGTCTTCTTTACAACCACAACATCAGCTCATTTAAGGCTGGATATGTCAATGGATTTTGTGAATTTGCGACTAAAGCCTGGAACACACTAGTCAGAAAGCTGCTTTCCCTGATTCCACCACAGTATCCTACAGACTATTGCCATAGATGTCAGGTTTAAGATATTGTAGTGTCTTAGTTCTGGTCAGAATTCCAATTTAAAGGGGCTGTTACAGCTAAGGCACATTAAGAGTGAGTTAAGAGTAATCCCATATTTCGTCAGACAACAAATTTCTGTTTAAAAGCTCAGAGTACCAGGAAAGTGTATTGATTGTCTTTGAGTTGAAGAACATTATTTGTAGTATTTCTTTGTGTGTTTACTGAGCTATTAAATTTCAGTTTCACCCATACCCCAGCACTGAAACAAACACACACATAAACACAGTAGTATTTTGGTGGGAGAGACTTCAGGGCATGATTTTCTTTTACACCAAAGCCACTGGAGCTGATGGTTTTTTCTTCTCAATGATACATGGGACATTGAAGTCTGGACTGAATGTATCATACAAACAATGTTTGTCAAAGTGTTGTTTTCTTGGCTGCA